TAGCACCAGGCATCAATCAATCTAGGGATCAATCAAAAGTCCTCCAAGAGAGCTTCAGCTTTCAAGGAAGCAATCAACAACCTAAGAGGAGAAAAAGGCGGCAGCAAGGAGAAGACAAGCTCATCGATCTCAACTTCAAGGGCAACATCATGAGTTCTTTCTTATACCTTGCTTGTTTAATCTTCTTTATCATGAACTAGTTTATTTATAGCTGGAGCTATGGAAAGCCTAACCACGACCATGGATTAATTTTTATTTAATTCAACCAAGTTGTTTTTATTTTCATATTGTCTATGAGTTATTATGCGTAATGCAATTAGGAGCTTGGCCACCTCTTAGTTGATTTGGTTTATGTGAATGAACCGGAAGGGGAATTCATATAGACTAAATAACTCATAGTGTGAATTGAATGGTATATAGAAATATATATACATGATTCATCTGATGATACAGGTTTTTCATAGAACTTAACGCACTTTCTATCTCAAGAACTCTAATCGAGGGATCGAAGGATTACTTGATAGAAGTAGGTTTGATATATCCTAGAAGGAAATATTAAATAAATTAGAAAAAACTTCAGCTTATGAAAATAATAAATTATCTTGGTTAATTTAATAAATTGATATTCATTGGAAAGGTTAGGTGGACCAATAGTCCTGTCACTTTTAGTTAAATCATTGCAAATTCAGTCATTGATTGCCTTTGTTTTTATCTCGTTTCTTTTTCTATCTTTAATTTTCAGTACTTTTTATTGTTAGATCCAAAATTTGGTTGTCCAAATAATTGAGGGAAGTTATAGTTCCAATACTTATTTTGTTAAATCCTCGTGAGAACGATATCTTTATACTACTTGTAACTAGTGCACTTGCTAGGATTATATTGAAAGAATGGTAGGATCCATCCAATGGACGCCATAAAGGTTGCAGAATGGGTGGGCGAATTTAAAAAATTTCCTACCTTCTCCCAACTGGGAATCATATTCCCTAAATTTAGAATATATTATTCAAGGATCCTACTTGAACCATAATCAAACCATATCTGTACCAAAAGGTAAATGGGAGGAATATACCTGATCCGGAGAAGTAGTATCTCCCAAAGTTGGTGTTCACGCCCAAAGAATGCTCCAAGAT